ACAGGGAAGATGTGCAGGAGGGCGAGCAGATTCACCAGAGACAGAGTGGGGAACAGAACAGGCAGACTGACTAAAATACACTGCTGAGGGAAGTAGCAGGCGAGACAGGAGAGGTCTGCTGCACCATGTGGGTTGCTCCATGGCCAGCAGGGATCGAACCGGCACTGCAGAGGCTGTGGACAGCTTCACAGTGCTGCACTCAACCACCTGTGCCACCCAGGAGACCCCTGTATGGTAGTAAATATTAACTAGACTTACTATGGTGAGCGTTTTGCATAAATACAAATATCAAATGACTATGTTGTACACCTGAAACTAATATAATCTTATACTTCTGTAAGTGATAATTAAAAACAAAGTGCTTTGTTTCTCCAACCAAGCACTATGTACAATGGTTGTAAAATAGAACCCCTCATCCCTCTAACTTCATATTTCCTAATGACTTGTCTAGTTGGTGAGTTTGAAAGGAGTTGAGCATGTGAGAAATGTTTTGAGTTGTCTATTGGTTTTCTCTCTTCTGGGCATAAGCTATAAAATGATTTATTCTCAAACAAAGAGTAAATTTTGTGGGAAAAGGACAATTGGCCCTATCAGGGAGGCCTGCAGTTATCTAGCTCTGTCTGTGACTGTTGACGTAAAAGGAAGTCTTTGTGACTTCATAGTTAAACATGTCCTCTGATCCAAATTTTGTCAATTATAAAGGAGACAATTTTGGCCTCCATTTATGACATTATTGAGCCTGTCTTTCAAATATTTGCAACTTGCAGAAAAGAAAATATTTTAGCTATTGGTCCTCGAAACTTAAACAGAAACATTACATTGAACTGTGGCAAATTTCATTGTAGCAAGGAATGGATAGTCATTACATGAAGGACAGGTACTTGATTATTCTCTAAATTAGATATGAGATATGGTTTATAGAGAATGCATTATTAGCTCTAAGAAGGATGGGGGATTTCAGGCATTTAAAGTGACACTTTGCAATTGACTGTAGTAATGTCCTGCAGAAAATAGTTGGGAGATTCTGACCGTATCCCTCAATAGTAATGCATGCAAAAGCCACCACTGGTAGACACAGTAATCCCATAACTAATAGCATACCCACCTTCATTTTTTATTCCCTTATATTCATAAAGACAATACTATTTGGACCTGAGGCAAAGGAAATTGTAAAGTGACCTAGGCAGTACATTTGGAATAATTATATGTTAAGCATGGTTATCTGTCCTTCAATTTGATAACTTAAAATTTCAAGTTCTGTCTGAATTTGTTCCCTTTGAATAACCAATTATGAGAAATGCTGTAGTAACTGTTATAATCATACCAAACTTTTGGGGGATAACTTACTACCCATTATTAAGATTGTATCTAATTATTCTCACCTGTATGCAAAAAAATGACTAAGGAACAATCCAAGGAAGTGAAGATGATGATAACAGCAAGACTTTACATATATTTTTGTAAGTAGTTCTCTTTTCTAGTAGGTCACTGCATTAGCTATATACACATCTGATTTGACCCATTAAGTTCCCAAATTTCCATTTGTTGCTTCCTTTGGGAGGAAAATTAATAAATGGCTAGGAGTGGAGCATGCAGTTTATGCTTCAAAATCTGGCACCACTGAAGTACTCTCCATCAAATCCTCTACTATGAAACTGCTTTAAACGACTATTTTTTCAATATAATTGGAATAGTTCAATGGCTGGTACCAATTTTCATCTAGAAAGATACACTCCACAGTTACCAAAGTGAATCACTTGGGATGTGAGACAAGTCATGTTAAACCTCTGTTGAAAATATTCCAATAGATCCCTTTCACATTGAAGGTATAACCCAAAATCAGTTCTGGGATGCCCAGGCCAATAAGCTTTCTCTTTCTCCCAGAATCCCATCACTTTTCTGAATTCACTTCCTAATATTCTATACCTTATTCACTCAGCTCCAGCATGTTGGTGTCTCAGTGTTCTTCAAACACGCCAGGCCAACTCCTGCCTTGGGAACTCGGCACTGACTTGTCCCTTGCCCATAGAGTCACAAGACCAGTTTTCTCATGGCCTTCAGATCGTCTCTCAAAGCCATGACCTCAGTGAGACCTTTCCTGGCCTCTCTCTCTATCCCTGAGATTTCAATGCCCCATCCCTCACTTTATATTTTCCTTCTAACATCTATCACATTGAAAATGATTTATATTATATTATAACTATTTTATCTTGGATACTATCTTGCTCCCACACCAAAAGTAAAACTTCACAAAGATTATATTTGTTTGTTTAATTACCACAAGTGCCTGTGCCTTGAAGACTGCCTGGCAGAAAGCCCATCTGAAGTAAGTACTGGTGGGATGAAGATAAAGCAAATGAATTTAAAAGCAAATAGAGTCCAAGTAAGCCAAAAGGGAGACTAAGGCAGTTTCCCCTTGGTCTAGTCCTTAGTTAAAAAGCAAATGCCTCCAGGGACAACTGCGCCTTTTATTAGAGTGAGGCAGGCCAGCTGGGGACCTGGCCACAACTTGAGAGGACATTCTGAATCAAAATGGGCTGAGCCTTTCCTCAGACCCAGCTGCTTATGTCCTCGTTGGAATGTGGGCCCTAATCCTCAGTTGTGTTTTTTTTTTTTTTTTTCCATGAGAAACCAGACATACAGGGGTTTTGTAATGTGAAATATCCCAAATGTCTAAGTAGCTAGTTCAAAACTAGAGAACAATAAAAATATGAAGATCAAACAAAAATAATGGGTGGCTGAAACTGATCCATGAATGGACTGCTACACTAATTTGGGGGATGCATCAGGAAAACCTAATGCCTACTATGATGAGGTGGGCTTGCCTGTGTAATTATTTTTTAGATTTTATTTATTTATGCATACAAGAACTGGGGTACAGGCCAGAGGTGCGGGGGGTGAGAGGATTCACCAGAGACAGAGTGGGGAACAGAACAGGCAGATCAACTGAAATACACTGCTGAGGGGAGCAGCGGGCGAGTCAGGAGAGGTCTGCTGTGCCATGTGGGTAGCTCCCTGGCTGGGGATCGAACTTGTGCTGCAGTGGCTGCGGCGAGCTTCATAGGTTGCGTCTTAACCCCTTGCGCCACCAGGGAGGCCCTGCCTGTGTAATTCTTGAGGCAAAAGCCTCAGGTCATATTGGATGAAAAGAAACAGAATTACACCTAATTTTGACTCCTGGAAGTTCCTTTCCTCCCTCTCCCCCTGCTGTGCTATCAGTTAGGGAAATGGGAAGCCACAAGAACCTTTTCTTTAAGGGCAGGAACACATTTTTAGTGAAGTGTGGGGTTGGGAAAACAGCTTTTTGAAGGCAATTTCCAAGGTTGGTCTGAGGAAAAGCAAGGAGGGGAGGATGCAGATGCAGATGCTTGTGTGGGGATACCACGTATCCGGGGGACTTTATTGGTGTTACCACAACCTCTCTTCACCAATTGTACCCTTCCCCCCACGTGACAGTATACAGTGGAAGGAGTTGGTTATGCAAAGCCACAACTCCCAGCCCCAATGCCCCATGCCATCTCACCTGGAAACAGCCATGCAAACTTCCATCACAGTTCCCCTTGTGCCTGAGGTAGGCAGGACTGGTCAGCGAGGGGTCAGTAGACACCAGCTTTGTGGGGGTATAAGCAGAATGGGGATTCCGGGGGCAGCCAAACTCCATCTGGTCGAGTGCTGGGTGGGGCTACCTGTGTTTTTTCAGGCAACTGCTAAGAGAACCATGGAAGTCAAGTACTTCTCCTGCCCTGGAGAGAAACACTAGGCTCAATCCTCTGATGCCCCTCTTCTCTGGCAAGGGAACATACAGTTCAGCAGGAGGAAGAAGCATGCAATGAGTTCTGTACTGGTTTTCAGCAAGGTTCCACCTTTCTGAATAAAACAATTCCCAAATGCAAGTTGGCATATCTCTTAAGTTTTGAACATCCCACTGACTCACTGCTCTTAAGAATTGTCTATCCAGCACAGGCCCAAGATTTCCTGCACTTCAGTCCTCTGGGAAATGTGAGGAGGTCACCCACAACCCTTTGCTTATGGGACACCATTTTAATGTATTTAGGCTGAGGGTTGGGGTTCTGCTGTGCAGGTGTGGCATGGACTCTTTGAAATTAAAAAAAAAGAAAATGGATTTTAGGTATAAACTTGTCTCCTGGCTAGCTCTTGGGTCATCCCCATCAAAATGCCTTTCTAGGGAATCTCCAACAATTCTAAGGCATCTCTGACAATTGCCACATCCTTTGAGCAAAGAGCCAAAGAAAGCAATGTGGATACTGCCAAAAGTCCAGCTCTTTCCTGGGTTTTCTCATCTTTTGTGATGGAAGCAAACTTCCATCTTTCTGAATAAAACACTTTCCAAATGCAAGTTGGAACATCTCTTAGGTTCTGAACACCCCACTGACCCATTGCTCACAAGAATTGTCTTGCTCTCCATATCTCTTCTTCTGTAGCCTCGCTCTCTCTGTCACCCTTTAAAAAAAAAATCAGTGCCCCTCTCTCCTGGCCTCTCACTCATGCATAGACCCTCCCTTTTAGTATCCCTTTTAGCCTCTCCTCAGATCCCTCCTAACTCCTTCTCTCTCCCCCTTGCTCTAGACCTCTTTTCAACTTCACTGTGCCCCTCTCTACTCATTTTGTTCATGTCTGTTTTGCTCTTAGCCCCAAGTTCTCATTCACCCTCAGTTTTGTTTCATCCCTTCTCAGTTGGGTATCACCCCCTCATTGGTCATCCCTCCCCCCACCCATGGAGCCTCTCCATTTCTGTCCCCTCCCCACCTCTTCCTAATCAGTCATCTCTCCAACACACCTCCAATCCCATCTCTAGTTCCTTCCCTGCCTCTCTCCCTAGACCAGACCAGCTAAGTCCTATTCCATTTTTAGATGTTCGCTTATGATACTTGCTGAACTTTATTCACAGCCTGAATTTACAGCTGTCCCTTCCTTTCATGCCCCATCCACCAAACACACCCAATCTTTTCAACATGACAAAGTCCTTACACACAGCATGCCATGTCCACATAAATTTGTATTTTTCAGAACAAAACAACAGTAATGCTGGCAAGGATGTTGCATTAACAAGGACCCTTAAGCTTTCAATACACTGAAAAGCAACATTGTTTTGCATGTCTACAAAGTATACACTTGTTTCCACAAATGTGCCAAAGTTTGCCCTAACAGTTAGGACTTTTTCACCAAATCATAGACATAGATATGGAAATCATCATCAAATTTGATGAAATACACAGAGGGTTTGGCTTCTACTTGGTGAATGACCATGCCAATCCGTTTGGAGCCATCTTCTTTGGTATATTCCACATGTTTGCCTATCAGACCATCTACAACTCCTCCTGGTTCTCTCTCTGCTGGAGGAGACTCACTGGACTCTGGCATGATACGGAGGTCTCCTTCTTTATAATCATCTAGAAGCTGGTACATGTACAAGACAGGATCTTTCTCATAGGTAATATAAAACCAGGCTTTCATGATAGGTGCTTGGGCTAAGACCATCCCCCTCCATTCATCCTTAGAACCATGCTCACCCTCAAACATATGTTCCACAGCTTTACCAATTATGGTATTGGCCAGGTTTGCATCACTAACTTGAGATGATGCTACCCTGTCGGAAAGAATTTTAAGAGACAAAACTCTTTCATCTCTGTGAAGTTCCAGTCCATAGACACAGTCAATTCCATCATATTTCACCAGATAAAGAGAGGGATTTATAGGCACCTGATCCAGAACAGTTCCTTTCCACTGGGTGATGGGCTCATCGCCTTCTTTCCACCCGTGTGAAATTCTGCAGCCCACGATGCTCCTGCGAGGCTGGGAGGATGGTCTGCCTCTTTGCTTCTTTTGGGAGGCCTTTTTTTTCGTCATGTTTGCAGATCCAGTGGCCCTTCCTGCAGATGCCCTGGTTTGTTGCCCTTCAGCGTCCTGTGTGTTGGGGGTCTTCATGCCTGCAGGGGAAGGAGACAAGACAGAAATATTCAGTATGCCATAAGGTGAAGTTCTCCTGACAGGGATATCTATGTGCCATGTGCCGGTGCCTAAATTTCCCCCAGGAGCTTGGCAGCAATGCTGGAAATCCTGGCTGCGTGCCTGCATGCTCTCCCTCCCAGGTTGCAGGGAAGGGCGGCAGCGGCCCCTGTGCTGACCTGGGTTAGGAAATCTGCAGGAGGCGGGGCGGGCTACCTCTTCCTTATTCAGTCTACTGCCTCCACCACTCGCCACTGGTGCCCACTCTCAATCCCTTGCAAAGCGCCCATCTAAGCACCGCCTTCACCAGCATGCAGTCACTGTCCTCCTATCATGAACACCCCAGCCTGCTGCCCACACGCCCCCTTGTCTAGCCCCAGTCGCTCTCCTGGAATCCAGCGCCCTTGCTTCCCTGTGCCCACCTTCAATTTCTTGCCTGTCTCTCATGGCCACCTCCTTTTCTCATTGCCCACCTTCCTCCCCGCACCCTCCCCACCCCCTAGCCTCACCCTGCAGCCCGCCTCCACCCTTTATCTCCTGCAGGAGTCCATCCCATCACCCGTCTCCATCCTGGCGCCCACCAATGGCCTTGCCCTGCTTGGCGTCCACCGCCCGGGGGATCGCGGGCCTCAAGTGCCCAAATTGGACACCTCGCTGCTGCCTCCGCGGTGAGCCTGTGTTGGAGGAGGAGCAGCAGGCGACGAGCCGAGCCGGTGCTTGCAAGTGCTGGGAGAGGAGAGTCGTTAGGCAAGGAGCGCGTTTAGGAAGGCGGGGGGGGGGGGGGGGGCAGGCAAAACAGGGGGTGCAGGCAAAGTGGTTGGCGGCGGTGTCCCCTGTGGTGAGCTAGTGGGCCCTCTGCTTCCCAGTTGTTGGTGATAACCCCTCATACTCATTGGCCTTTCAACAGTGGCTGCTGTTGCAGCAGTCTCCTCCCTCCAATTTTAAAGTACTATGCTCTTAGTTTTTCTGTCAGTGAAGTTACTTGTTCCTGCTAATCAGCATACATTCTAACCCTCCTTGCCCTAGAGGCACTACTGGGTTTTCTCTTCTCTTACAGATTTCAGATCTGCAAGAGCAGTAGGTTGTCCTTCTCTTGTCTGTTCTTCCTGCCTCCACCTTCTCTGCCTTTTTAACTCCATCCCTTATATTCCCTGATAGAAGACTTACCATTGTTCACAAATCATTCACTTTTTTTTGCATACACACATTTTCATACAGAAAGAAAATTGTCAACTTATATTACGATAGGTATCCTTTAATACTCATACACAAACACTTGTCTTTTCCTTCTCTCTACCTGTTTTCATTATCTTTAATTACATATAATTAAAAATGATTTATATCCACAATCTTTAGCACACATTTCCAAACAAATTATGTAACAGAAATGCCATTTTTTTATAGTCATACACTACTGAAACGCACAAAATATTTTTTCGAAAGTATCATAGGCATCTTTTATGAATGCTGGACAATTTTAATTCTTAAGACTTATTCTTGAATATAATTACAATTTGTAAGAAATTTATCTATTGTTGCATAATACAGTGCTGCTTTTGAATTTTGTGTAGTAATTTTCTTTTAATTTAAGTTAATTATATATATATTACATCATTCTTCCTTTTTTGTGCAATGCATACTTTCTCCTCTTAGGTGTAGTACCCCCAAAATTCCCACCACCAATTCACCCATGAACCATCACCATACTCCCTTTTGTAAGAACACATTCCCTCCCCTGTTTTGATCCCACTCATATCCCCTCCCCTGCAGAGTATCTCTGATTAATAGTTGACTGTTATTTTTTTAATTTTATTATAATTTTTGCCTGGTCTTTATTTGATTCCCCTATATTTCTCCTATAAGTGAAGCCATCCAATATTTTTTCTTCTTCCTCTGGCTTATTTTACTGAGCATAATACCTTCCAGCTCCATCTATGTTGCTGTGATTGGCATGGATTTATCATTTCTGATTGCTGAATAGTATCCCATTGTGTATATATACCACATCTTCTTGATACAATCTTTTATTTTGGGGCATTTGGGTTGTTTCCATATCTTACCAATTGCAAATAGTGCTGCAATAAACATAGGGTGCAAGTATCCTTTGAATTAATGTTTTTGTGTCCTTTGGGTAAATTCCTTGAAGTGGAATTGCTGGGTCATATTGAAGCTCCATTTTTAGTAGTTTGAGGAACCTTCATACAGCTCTCCATAGTGGCTGGACCAGTTTGCATTCTTGCCAGCAGTGTAGGAAAGTTCTGTTTTCTCCTGTTTTCTCCATATCCTCACCAATATTTGTTGTTTCCTGTTTTGTTTTGTTTTGTTTTCATGTGTGCCATTCTCCCTTGGGTAAAGTGCTATTTCATTATGGTTTTGATTTGCAGTTCCCTGTTATGTTGAACACTTTTTCATAAACCTGTAAGCCATTTTAATTACCTGTTTGGAAAATTATCTTTTTAGCTCTTCTGCCCATTTTTGACTGAGTTGTTTACTTTGTTTTTGTTGAGTTGTGTGAGTTATTTGTAGGTCTGTGTGATCAGTCCCTTCTTAGTAGTATTGTGTGCAAAATTTTTTTCCAGTAACTAGGGTGTCTCTTTTTATTTGGTTAATATCTCTTTTGTTGTACAGAAGCTTTTTAATTGGATGTAGCCCCAGCTTTTCCTTCACTTTCTTTGCTTTGGGGGAATGTGTGTTTAAAGATGTTACTAAGATGTATATCATGTAGGGTTTTGCCTATATTTTCTTCTATATATTTTATGGTTTCAGGTCTTATGTCCAAGTCTTTTACCCATTTTCAGTTGGCTTTGTGCATGGTGTAAGGTAGTGAGGTAGTAGTCTAGCTTCTTCTTTTTTTTTTTTTTGCATGTAACAGTCCAGTATTCACAGCAATATTTATTGAACAAACTGCCCTTGTTCCATTACAGTTTCTTTGCACTCTTATCAAAGATTAGTTGTCCATAAATCTGTGAATTTATTTCTGGGTTTTCCATTTAATTCCATTAGACTATGTGTCTGTTTTTTGTTCCAGTACCATACATTTTTAATATTATGGCTTTGTAATATAGTTTGAAGTCAAAGAGCGTGATACCTCCATTCTCCTTCTTTTAGTCACAGAGCTTTGTCTATTTGAGGTTTTTTGTGGTTCCATATGAATATCATCAATATTTGTTCTGTTTCTTTGAAAGATACCATTGATATTTTTATTGGAATAGCATTGAATCTATAAATTGCATTTGGTAGGATGGCCATTTTGATAATATTAATTCTTCCAATTCATAAGCAGAGGTTGTCTTTCCATTTCTTTGTGTACTCATGTATTTCTTTTAACAAAGTTTTATAAAATCATTTTTTTAATTGGTAGTTTTCTCCTGTATTATCTCATTATCCTCACCTGTTCCTCTGTCTTTACATTATCTTTCTTCTGTGTACATCTCTGTTTTAAATTCATCTTCTTTTTTTTTAAGATTTATTTATTTATTTATACAAGCACTGGGTACCATCAGAAGCGCGGGAGGGTGAGAGAATTCACCAGAGCCAGAGCAGGGAGCAGAACAAGCAGAAGGACCGAAGTACACTGCTGAGGGGAGCAGCGGACGGCAGGAGAGGTCTGCGCACCATGTGGGACCCTCTCCTGTGGCTGGGAATTGAGCCGGTGCCACAGAGGCTGCTGGCAGCTTCACAGCCCATCGCTCATCGCTCAACCGCTGCACCACCAGGGAGGCCCTAAATTCATCTTCTTAAAGGACACCAATTGTGTTAGATTAAAGCCAAAGTATGTGACCACTAAGCAAAGCATGTGACCCCATTATTTCTTTATCATATCTGTGTTTGTCCTATCTGATTTATAAAGGTTAGGATTTCAATATATGAATTTTGAGGGTCTACAGTTCAGCCCATAACGTTGAACACCTTGATTAAACTTAATTTGATGCCATTTAATTTTTTTAAACTAAGCAATAGACTGTTCTCTTAATTTTAAACCAGTTTGATATTTTTCTCTTGATACATGTAACTCATAATATCCTGATGATACAGCACCATAATATTATTGATATTTTAGAGAATAATGGGTTCTTTGGGCTGCTTGTTCGATAGTACTTTACTATGGCAGCCCTAATAAATGAATTCACTCAGTGATACTACAAAAAACTTAGTGTTCATATTTTTCTTTTTTTCTCTGATGTCAGTTTCATACTGAAGTTTGCTACAATATGGTTGTCAGCAACTTTGGAACATATATTCTTCCTCATTCATATATAGTGACAGAAAACTTCTTTACAGTAACTTTTAATCAAAAGTTTGTTTTAGTTCATCAGGACCATCATAACTCACTTGCTTGCCCTTGTCACATGGCCTAAGTAATACCATGTTCACCAGTGTATACCTCCTTTAGAAACAAATGACATTAACAAAGTTGTCCATTTCACTAATTTGTTTATGCTAATCAATCCTACCTACCCCTGGAGCTGGGATAAAGCAATGATAAAAATATGATACAGGTAGTAGACAAGGGGGATTTAAATGGTTATTTGTGAGGTAATCTGCAATGTCCACAATTCCAGGTTACTAATTTCAAGTTCAATCTAAAAGTTTCTATTTTTCCAATATCTGAAACTATTTCCAGATATGCCACTGCCAATTGATTGTATAGTTTTTCATATTTCTTTGGGTAAATTGTAACAGTTTACCCCTTTTTATCTTTGAAATTCTCAGGATAGAAGGAACATACATTAACATGACAAAAGCCATATATAACAAGTCCACAGCCAATATTATTCTCAATGGCAAAAAGCTGAAGGCCTTTCCTTTAAGATCAGGAACAAGACAAGGATGTCCTCTCTCACCACTGCTCTTCAATATAACACTAGAGGTCCTAGCCAGGGCAATAAGACAAGAGAAAGACATAAAATGAATTCAAAGAGGGAAGGAAGAATACAACTATCACTATTTGCAGATGGTATGAAAATATACATAGAGAACCCTTAAAACTCCACAGAAAAACTAAACAAGATAATTAACCACGTTAGCAAACTAGCAGAATACAAAATCAACACACAAAAATCAGTAGCCTACTTATACACAATCAATCTGAAGAAGTAATCAAGAAACTCATCCCTTTATAATTGAAACAAAAAAAAATCAAATATTGGGAATAAATCTAACAAAAGGTAAAGGACCTATACAAAGAAAACTATAAAACGATGTAAAAAGAAATAATAGAAGACACAAAGAGAGAGACGTTATCAACATGACAGTGAGGAAACGCTGCGAGTAAGACCTCCCATTAAAAAAAAAAAAGTTAATAGGGAGGAAAAGCGGCAGGTCCCTGAGAGAACTGGGACACCAAGATAAACGGGCGACTGGCAAACTGCCCAAAGAAGAAAGTTGCCATGAAAGAGGACTAGAAGGGAGGAAAGCTCAGAACCCTGCTACCCTCCCCCACCCACAAAGTCAGCACTCTCCGACCAACAGAAAGGAGGAAAAATAAAAAACTAAAACAACCAACAAGAACAAACTACTCATCAAGCGGGACTGTGAGTGGAAAGGAACTATTTCAGCCATTACACCCTGTGAACTGGAACTGTGGAGAACCATGCAGGATTCGCAGTGGAGGTGAGCGAACGGCTCCAGGCACCATTGAAGAAAAATAAAGACTCCCAGGAGACCTACAAATAGCCCAAGGCCAGCCAGTAAACTTG